CCGATGATGAAATAAAGTTAAAAGTTTTCCAACTATTCACTAATAAAGGACTGGTAAGGCTAATAATTTTCTTTTTGCCTTTTTCTCGTTTGTGGCTTTGTTGTTAGTATAGTTAACTAAATTAATAATGAACTTTTTGACAAATTTCTATTGGTACATCAATCGGAGTTGACCTTCCCGCAAACTCAATGTCAATTTTAACTCGTTTTTTCCTTTCATCCAAAGAAGTAATTTTGCCTTCATAATTAGCAAACGTTCCTTCTATGATTTTTACTAAATCACCAATAGTTAGATTAGAGTTGTGGTTAACCTTAGTATTTTCTTTACTTTTTCCTACCTCCAGCGAGAAATTTTCGACTAATTCAGGCGAGACAAATTCAGGTAATTGAGAGCTTCCTCGTTGGTGATTCAAAAAACTAACTACCCTAGGAATGCTATAAAAAAAACGTACTAACTCTGAAGTCAAAAAACAGTGGCAAAAAATATAGCCTTTTAAAAAATTTTTTTTCTGTTCATCCTTAAAAATTTTCAAGTCGCGAACCTGACCTTTCAATCTATTTTTAACCAATTCTGACTCGATATTTTCAATTATTTTTGCCTCTTGTCCTCCCCGAACCAAGATAATGTATCAATGATATTGTTGCATGCTTTTTTAAAATTAATTTTATTTTATTACGTTGCGGTAATCATTTTTACAAATCCAAAAAGGAGAAACATGCAAGCAAGAATAACTATTGTCATGATCAAGCAAGCATCAAGGCTTAAATCAAAGGTTAAAAATTTGAATAATTTATTGTATTTTTTAATACCGCTTGAAGAAACTGTCTTTGTCATAACCACTCGAAATTTTATTTAATCTAATTTTAGTCTAAAAAACAAATTTGCTTTCGAAGTCAAAAGAAGTTTTCTCTGATAGAATAGAATTAGGAAAATCAAAAAGGTGATAAAAAGTGAAGTGTATTTATAGTTTTTTTGAAAACATATAAATATTACCTGCTTTCTAAACTTGAAGTTTGAAAGTTTTTTGTAAATACAAAGAACTATTATTAAAAAGCATAAAATAATAAGTATTATTTAGAGAAATATTTTGAAACGATTTTCTTTAACATTAAGGAGTTATGAGTAAATGTCAAGCAAAAGTTGAGAAAACTGTTCCTAGGTCGATTTGGGGAGTTACCAAAAAAATGGAAAATTGTCCAAAAGACGCAAAAGGTGAGGGATTTTTTTGTGAAGTGCATGGATGTTTTGACTGTTCTTGTAAACCGGTGGGAAATTGTTCGGAATATGAAGGGGTAAAATTGTGCTTAGTTTGTCAAGGGAAAAGGGAATTTAAAAAAAAAGCAGAGGAAGAGAGAAAAAAGAAGATAATTGAGGAAGACCGCAAAGCATTTAGGAAGGAACAAAAAGAAGCTGAAGAAAAAGAAGCATTTAGGAAGAAAAAAGAAGAACTTGAGGAACAAGAAAGATTGCGAAAGGAAGCCGAGGAAGAGAGAGAGAGAGAATTTAAAAAAGTTACCCAATTGAGACCTCCTAGCTGCGGGCCAACAACAGGATTTTCTTAATCAAGTTAGTCTACTCGATCGAACCCAGTTTAGCAATCTCCATAACCAAGTTCAGCAAGCGATTAAAAAAGCCCAAGCGGACCAAGAATTACGGCAAGCAAAAACCTTGGCCGGGCAGGAAATTAACCAATTCCTTCAGGCTGCTCCCGGCATTGATTCAACTGAATTAGGAACAATTAACGCCAACTGAGAAAGTGAACTTAACCAAGCTTCAAGTAGCCAGTTAGTTAAGCAAATTAAAGATCGGATTTGGGCTGCTATCACCGCCAAAAAGGCGGAAAAAACCAGTGAAAAGCAGTTGGCTGCTTTAATCTCGGAAGCGCAAGGTTCAATGAATAGTAATCTTTTAGATAAACTGCAAAAAGATTTAGAGAAAATCAATGTTTATCGTAACCAGCCAGTTTTTCTAAAGCAAAAAAAAGCAGTTGAAGACTTAGAAAATTATTTATTTTCTGCTAACTTAACTAAATACCGCGAATTTATTGTGAATTCGCTCCAAAAAGAATTAGCCAGTGAACCTTTTCCCGTGCTGGCTGAAGAATTAAAGGAGAACAATCGTGACTTTGTTCTCCAAGTCAACCAAATTATCGATCGACAAGCCTTAGAAAATATTAAAAACCAGGTTCTGAATAATGTTGGAGAAAAGAAAGCCGAAAAATTAGTCGATAATTTACTGGTTAAAATCAAAGCAACCTTTGCTTCTGAAGCAGAAAGATCAGTGGTTTGCCAAGCGATTTATCGCTTGCGAGACCATGGAAATAGTTGAGAGAAAAACTTCTGAGAAAGCCAAAGAGAAGTTTTTGAAGCATTTTTAAAAGGAGAAAAAAAAGAAGATTCTTCTAATTATAACCCTAGTAGTGATAAGCCAAACTATCTTTGGCCTATTTTAGCTGTTTTGCTAATTAGTGGAATGTTTATTACTGGATTTTTACTTGTTCGTTGGAGGTCGAAACTGAAGCAGAAATA